CTGCAGAAAGATCTCTTAATGTTCAGTCTTGTACTTTCACACTGCATACTTGACTGTGTTGCATTTGTTCATTTATATCCCAGCCCTTTCCCCAAAGTGAGTTACAAAATAAAAACAGACAAGAGTAAAAGTGCATATAGATAATAACATACTGGTAGTTATTTTTTTAATCTTGTTAAAATAAATTTTATTTATATTTCATAGTTATCAAAAAGAACATAATATTTTAGAAACACACATACAAGAACCAGTAGACTGTAACAAAAGACTGAATATACATTAAAAAAGCAGTAAAACACAGTAGAAAAAAAGGAAAGAAAAAGAAAACTAATCCTAAGTATGTTTTTTTAAAAAAAAAATAGCAACAGAAAAGAAAAAGGGGAGGGGAGAACAAACAAATAAGCAAACAACTCCCTATAAAAAAACAAACAGAAAACAGAAAAAAGTTCTGTGCTGTCTTGTATCTTTTGCCATTTAACAGAAATCTTTTTAAAAATGGATTTGATAGATATTTTAACTGCATTTTAAAAAAATAACTAGATTGAATATAAATAAATAAAAATAAATAATTATTTTTATTTTTATTTGACCTAGTTATTTTTTAAAATGCAGTTAAAATATCTACCAATCAAAAATAATTTAACAGTTCTGCTAAATGGGAAAAGATAACTGACAGCACACTAATCAAATATTTTTCCTTTAAAACACAAAAGCCTGTTGGAACAAAAAGGTCATCATTTGCCAATGGAGAGACAACAAGGAGGTATGCAGCTCACTCACCTAGAAGACAGAAGAACTAGAACAGGCATCGGCACCCCCCGGCCTGTGGGCCAACTGTGGCCCGCGGAGGCCTTGGGACCGGCCCGTGGCTGGTCCTGTCGCCACCGTCGGCGCATGCGCACTGGCGCATCACGCACGACCTCAGGCACCATTTTGGAAGGCCCAATGGCGTCGGCATCATGCGCATGAGCACGGCGCTGGAGCTGTTGGGCCTTCCCAAATGGCGTTGCGCATCATGGGTGCATGCGTGTACAATGCGGGATGCCATTTTGGAACGGCCAACAGCAATGGCGCTGTGTGGAAGCTGTTGTAATAAGGGAGTTGTGTTCTCCTCAGCCTGGCCAACAGTATGGTTTTCAGCTCTCTGGAGAGCTGAAGTTTTCAGTCACATTTCAAAGACAGCTCCATGTTGAGCACACTACAAGAATCCAAACAGGATGCATCTAAGGCATGTGTCACTGCAGCCAGATGAAACATCAAAAGGGAAATATACAGGGCAATATACCCTTCCACATGGAAGGACTCTAAACCACGTGACAAGAAAGACTATCAAGGAAAGTCTGGTACTTTTCATGAATACGTATTGAACAATAATGCAAACATTTACTAAACTCATAAACTACATATGTTTACTCCAATAATGCAATTTAAACCATCCAGTAGAATAACAAAACCATATAAACCATCTAGAAAATAATCATACAACAAAAATATCTTACAGTGACCATAACATAAGGCATCCCATCCCTATTATTGAAATAAACATGTGCACTGTATGAGTTTAGTAAATTTTTGCATTATTGTTAAATAAATATTCATAAGTACCAGACTTTCTTTGGTAGTCTTTCTTGAGAGATGAAACATATCTGGGAATGGATGCACCAAGCACACAAGTTTTAACTGCAAATATGTTCCTAGCCATTGAAAAATCCTGAGCATCCAGACAGAGTTGAATCCGTCGCTTCTTGGCCTTTTACCTAAGCTCAAGTATACACTTCAATCCAGGAGAATACCAAACCAGAAAGTTGTGTATCCAAGATGCGTGCAACCACCATGTGAGACAGACTGAATCCCTGTTCCCTGATCTGCCTTATGATGGGTCAAGACGGGTGGCCATGGGCCGCCCCAAGAAGCCACAGATTGGGGCAGAGGTACCCGCACTCCTCAGTTCCAATGCACCCCTTTTCGGGCCCTGGAAGGAGCGCTAAAATAGCTCTCCTTCTGCAAGGCGCCAAAGGTGCACCACAAGAGGCATTGGGCACCTCTTTGGCGTCTCTTCCGTTGCAGCATGTCCAGACGCTTCAGCAGAAGGACGTCATCGGAGCGCCCGTTGTGTGGAGCGACCGGTGCTCCGATGACGTGTTTGGGAAGGGTTTGGGGCGCCCAGCATGAGGCTGCCCCTCCCCTTCTTTACCACCAAGACGGCGCAAAACGCTGTCTGCAAAGAGGGAAAGTCCCTTACTGTTAACAGACATCAGTAGTTTAGACAAAAATACAACCAGATTTCTTGTTAAATTATTTAAGGATGCATCTAAATTGAAGAAATAATGCTGTTTGACACCACTTTAACTGCTGTAGTTTCATCCTATGGAATCCTGGGATTTGTGGATTTGCAAGGTCTTTAGCTTTCTTTGCCAAAGGGTACTGCTACCTCACAAAACTACAGATCCTAGGATTCTGTAGGCTGGATCCCAGGCAGTTAAAGTGATATCAAACTGCTTTATTTCTACAGTATAGATGCACCCTAAGATGCTTTCACATTGTTTAAACTATGTTTAATTGTTTTACTGTTTTAAAATTTAAATTGGTGTGTATGTGTTTAAATTGAATTTACTTTTATGCCACCATGAGAATCTGTCATATAAGGCAGGCTATTTTGAATAAACTTTTAAAACAAAAATATGATTTTAAAAGCTTTAAAAGTCTAAGTCAATGCTTGGTTTTAATATGCTAGTTTATTTAGGGGGTAAGCAGATGGGCGGCCATGGGCTGCCCTGGGAAGCTGCAGATTGGGGCCAAGGTAGCCGCACTTGTCGGCCCCAACTTGCAGCTTTTTTGGCCCTGGAAGGAGCGCTAAAATAGCGCTCCTTCCACAAGACGCCGAAGGTGCGCCGCAAGAAGCCTTGGGCACACCTTCAGCACCTCTTCCGCTGCAGCATGTGCGGACGCTGCAGCGGAAGTGCGTCGTTGGAGCGACGGCCGTCTGGAGCGACGGCCGTCTGGAGCGACAGGCTCTCCAATGACGTGTTGAGGAAGGGGTTGGGGCGCCCAGCATGAGGCTGCCCCTCCCCTTCCTTGCCTTGAAGACAGCACTTTGCACCATCTGCTTAGGCCCTTAATTGCTTTCAAATACTTCTTGAGCCTTATAACTGCTTCTTAGCTGTATTCTGTTTTAAACTCAGTAGTCAGTAGTTAGTTTGGTGGTAATAGTTAAAATTAGTCAGAGCTTCGTCATGTGTTCCCTGTTCTGTTCTATTCTTTTCTATTGCCCTCACGCCGCAGCAGCTGAATGTGCCACGGCGTTTGAGCCAGGGAAAGTGTGCCCACCGCTTTTGGGGCGCACTTTCCCTTAAATCTAAAAGAAGCGCCAATTTGGTGCTCCTTTTAGATGCGCCGCAGGAGCGCCGCGGTCCGGAGGCTGAACTCCGGCGGCGCTCCGGACCAGGGCGTCTCCGACGCCCTGGTCTGCATCCCCAATAGGTCATCCAGTGCAGCTTTATGGTCTACTTTGACCAAAAGCTGCACTGAAGGACCTAGAGATTTGTAGTGAGAACACTCCACTAGGCATTTGTAGCTCTTTGGTCAATGTCTGACAGATATTGACCACAGAGTTGTACTTGAGGACCTAGAGATTCCTAGAGAGGTATTATCATTCCTAGACAGGTGTCGTTTTAACTTGGATTGATTTAATAATGTTTTAAGGGGGGGAGGGAATCAGACTTGTTTCGTACTATGTAATATTTTATTGTTGTTAGCCGCCCCGATTGACCTCAAAGGGGCAGGATATAAATAAATTTTGTTGTTGTTGTTGTTGTTGTTGTTGTTGTTGTTGTTATCTCAGCTAACAACATAGTGTTTTTGTTATTTGAGGTTTTTCTACATTTACAGGAGTCCTATGCCCCTAACCCCAGCAAATGTAGAGGGAGGCGTATATAGACTGATAATTTCAGACTCTTAGGCTTCATTTCCTCCCATAAGTTTCATCCTTTCATGCATACTATCCAACATTTCATAGATGAAAACTGGAACATTTGTTGCCAAGAAACATTGGACTGTGGTCATGATGGCAAAAATAATTGATGAGAAAGAATACACAAGCCAGGAGAGGCTGCAGCAGTTTGCTTTTGCTTCACCCTACTGGGAGATTAACTCCCACGGAGTTAACTGAATGCAAATTGCTTTTGCCCTTTGTACTCAGTTTGGAGCTATGGAAGTAAGCTAAAGATGAGGAAGCAAAGTGGGAAGACATAAGAGAAACTGGGACATTTTTAAAGCAACTGAAAAAGTAGGACAACAGAGGACTAACTAGCACTGCCCCTGCTAAATAGGGACAGTGGAGGGTATGCTTGTGTTTTCTTTCACATTAATCAATTATAGTATTGTGCTTTACTTTACTATGGATCCTGGGATTTGTAGTTTCATGAAGTATGGAGTACCGTTATCCATTATGCCCTGACTAACCATTCTTTGAAGGTAGGAAATTGTTTTTTTGGTAGGACATTATCACACTATCAGTTATAGCACAAACCGATCAGCATAGTTCTGATTTAGCAACAGTCCTGACCACATGATGCAGTGCACATACTGCTGTTCTCATGCATTTAAACCAGCACTTTTCATTCACAGGTAGAACCTGTGAATGACCACAATATGCATGTGCAGCTTTTTTTTTTTTTAAAGTGATCTCAGGAATGCAGTCAGTTCTTGCCACTCTTATTGCGAATACATCCCAGTTTTCAGGAAAAAGTGCAATCTAAAACATGACTGCAGCACTAAGATAGTGGTTGCATTTATTTTGGGTTGCCAACAGGTTAGTGTGATGGTGTGATAATCTCCCTAGACATAGTTGTTGTTGTTGCTGTGTGACTTTAAGTCATTTCCAACTTATGGCGACCCTAAGGCAAACCTATCATGGGGTTTTCTTGGCAATATTTGTGCAGAGCAGGTTTGCCCTTGCCTTCTCCAAGGCTGAGAGAGAGTGAATTGCCCAGATGGTTTCATGGCTGAGCTGAGAATCAAACTCTGGTCTCCAGAGTCATAGTCCAGTATTCAAACCACTATGCTATGCTGGCTCGTATATAAGTATATATATTCTGTGCTGGGGGGGGGGGAGTGAACAATATATAACAATTCTACTTCTCCTGGAAGATCCAAGCAGCAGCACTTCACCTTTTATGTAGGTTAAAGGCTTTGCTGTTTTTCAAAACCAGAAGCACACTTCTGGCACTTCTGGTTTTGTTGCTTGTTTTCCCAACATTTTTGTCAGTCCATGTGGACCCTACAGGGTCCCAGGGCAGAAATCTGCTTCTCACATTCTCTACTCCATTTGCTCACTCCTGCTCTGCCATACATCACTGTTCGCAATATGGGAGGAGGCCATGACTTTATGACAGAAATAAAATAAAAACCATTCAGGAAAACCCTATGCTCCTTTCACTGTAATGTCTAGATATTCTCCACACAGGAGTTATAGCAGCAGCATCTTGTCATTTTTGGCCTTCACAGAAAAATTTGCCCATCAAGTACAAGTGTGATTCCAGAAAAATAAAATACATGGATCTGCTAGCTAAACATTTATCTGATCTTGCTGGGGAGTTTTCTAGCATGGTTAAAAAAAATGCCAGGCTTTCTAGACAGTATTGGAGGTCTCTGAAAAGAAAGATATGAATCAGAGAAGAGAGTCATATAGCAGAAAATAAACCTCTGAAGGGAATCTCCACTCAGAAGAACAATACCTGTACTCCTGCCAAGAGGTAGGGCAGTGATGTGACCACTTTTCCAGAGTAGTTTCAGGGATGAATCAAATGTGGACTTCCATAAGTTGACCAATTACCAGTATGCTTCTGAGGAAGTAGACTAAGGGCTTCTACAGACAGCCCTTTGCACTATCTAGGAGGCAGGGAAGGGGAGTGGCAGCCACACGCCAGGAGCCCCAACGTCACACTGAGGACATCATGAAGGTGCACACCATTACGCATGGTGTGTTTCGTCAAGACATCTTTCTGGTGCAGCGTCCTGACACGCTGCACCGGAAGGGGCACAGAAGAAACACGCGGCAGCTCTTTGGGAGGCCTGTTTGCCACCTCTGAAAGGACCGCCATTTTGGCGCTCCTTTCTGAGGCAGTAAAAGGGAGGATTGGGGCTGAGGCATGGGGCAGTCTCGGCCCCAATCCTACACTTCCGAGGGTGGCCCAGGGCCCCCTGTCTGCATCCCCCCTAAGTCTATGAAAGCTTATGCTACAACTTCTTTCACACAAGAGTGTCAAAGATGCTACAAGATCCCATTGCATACTTCAGTTCCCAGCATTCTTCATTAGCTTTGCTGGTTTGGACAATTGGAACCTGTAGTCCAGCAACATCTAAAGATCCTAAATTTGCCCAGCTCTGCTCTGTTTGAAGGTATCTTTGCGTAGAAGGTCTGGCTTAAATGTAAACATCAGTGAAAAGGCAGAACAGTGATCTTTTAATTTCCCAATAATGGGCCTCTGCAGACAGGTGGCTCTGGGCCACCCTGTGGACTGGCGGATCAGGGCCACGGCAACCCCATGCCGTGGCCCCGATCCTCCCTTTTGCCACCCCGAAAAGAGTGGCAAAATGCCACTCTTTTTAGGGGTGACAAAAGCTGTCCTAAGAACCAGCACCATGGCTCTTCAGCGCCCTTTCAGTGCAGCAAGTTTAAACTCTATGCTGGGAGGGTGTTCTGATGCCACGCACTGTGCGTAACAGCATATGGTGTCAGGACAGCATCGGTGTGGGTTTAGGGCAGCCGGCATGTGGCTGCCCCACCCCAACTCTATCCCCAGGCCGGCCCTTTGGACCAGTCTGCAAAGGCCCAATGTTTAGCGCCTATACAGCAGATAGCAGGGTCAATTTTTCATACTATGATAAGGGTTCCCCCCACACACACATTTCAATTTACAGCAATTATTTCAAAATTTACGTCTATACAAAACTAAAACTAAAAGCATTTGAATGTTTTAGCAAAGCAGCAAGCATTTATATACCGCTTCATATCGCGCTATGGGATGTCTAAGTGGTTTACAATTGTAAGCTCATTGCCCCCCAACAGTTGGGTACTCATTTTAGTGACCTCAGAAGGATGCAGGCCTGAGTCTAGCCTGAGCCCTGGCTAGTATTGAACTCGCAGCTTTGTGGTCTATGAGTAAGTGGCTGCAGTACAGGCATTTAACTACTGCGCCACCAGGGCTCTTCTTACACAAATCCATGTTCTTTTTTTGCCTTTTTGAGGGGCAATAGTAAGTCGTTACCCTAAGAGGAAGAGGCAATAAATAAGCATCAAGGCTGCAGGCAATGGTTATAATAGTTCCCAGCTATTCTTACTAGCCTTAATATCTGAGAGCCTACAGGGATGTTTATAATCAAATGGATCAGTTTCGGCCAGGACAGGGGAAGGAGGAGGAAGAGGAGGCTCTCCAGGCCAGTTTCTAACAGAAAGGAGAAA